AAAAAGATGAAAACTTCTCTAGTAAAACGTATCGAGCCATAAAATTATGTAAATTTTTTTAAACATAAAGTTATTATACGCCTAATAACAGCTTTTGAATAATAATAATCAGGAAACAACAGTTTAACTAAAAAAAAAAAATTAAGATTTGCCTGAAATATTAAGTGTGCAAAGATGCAAGATTTGATATTGGATGCTGAGAATGGTTAGGTACGAATCAACCGCCACAGCGATAAACTCATCGGTATTACAACACCTCACGAATGGGTTTTTGTACTCGACCGCTGTTTCTTCAGTTTCCGGTGATAAGTTTTCATCGTTTTCTTCTTCTGAAAAACGAGCGTTGTTTACGAAAGTTACGTTAAGGCAGAACAGCAGAATAATTCTTACAAGACAAAAACCTCATAAAGTTATAATGAAAACATTTCCAACGTCACTCTCATTATATCAAACCATCCTCCTGAACTCCACAAAAGCATTAGTAGTACACAGAATTACAACTAACCCGTAATTGTGGCAATTGTATGAATTTCGTACAAAGATGTTGGGGCACTAAACTCATTTCTCCTGCCAAAATTGCGCGTTTCATCTTCACCAAAGTCAACATCAACACAGGTAAATTTACGTCTCACTGCCGTCATGACAAAACTGTAATGCAGAACAACCTTGTTAAGTTTGTTAAATTCATTCAGAAATGGTACAAAGGAATTGGGAAACTTCAACTGCTTCAACCATACAGGACAAAAAATTAACCCCTGACGATAAGATGAAAGTTTTCCTGTACCGAGACCAGTTCAAAAGAATGAACTAAATGGAAGTCTGCGGAACGACAATAGGACCCACAAGCATTTGCACCAATCTGCACTGTATCATCTAAAAATTTTCAAATTTCAATTTTTCGCGCAAAATTTTGAAAGCGCTTTTAGGCAGTTTTCGTGCGGCGTATAGAGCTCGCTGTACATGCACGTTAGTTCTGTTGTAATCACTAAGGGACTTGTTGTTGGCAGCTGTTGGGAGTCAAGTTTTTTTCTTTTAAAGTACGAACGGTTCAGCAGGGTAAGGAGAGTAAGTTCTTGATCGTAATCAAAGGGAAATTATTTGGAGGAAGGGATTCAGTTTTTGATATGAATGTTGTAGTGAACTAGTTAAAAAGATGATCGATGCGATTCAACCAGAACTGTAGTACGCAGGACATAAGACAGCTTCATGGGGAACTCAGTTCTGAAAACGAAAAAAAAGGCAAAAAAGTATGCCAACCAAAAAATATTTTTAGACTGATTACGTACGCTTAGCTGTATAGTGGCTTCGTGCGCACTTGTTCCTTGAAGTTTTTTTAAGACAGAATCATGATGAAAAGAATGATTACGCACGTAACTGCTAGTGATTTTGATGCTGGACAATCACTGTGATTTTTCTTAACTGTCACAACTGTGTGCGAAACTATGTGCAAAAACCGGCAGACGATTACCTCTAATTTCTGCTGAGAAGTTTCTGAAGGAAAGTTGGCTGGTTAAATCATCAAAGACCGTTCTTTTTTTGCAAAGTGGTGAGTAATTGAAAGGAAGTAAGACTCGCCTTTGTTTTTTTCTGAACTGTAATGTGATCTGGGACTTAGATTTTTGGCGACTGTTTCTCTATTACTTTTGCATTGCCCTCAGCGATGCAGTTTGATTTCTTCTCGTATCGAACAAACCTATTGGAAAGCTGTATACTTACTTCCTTTAGACTTTGGGTTAGTTTGATTTTGTTATTGGTTTATTATTATCGTTTAATTTGTATTGAAGACGTTTTTCAAGGTAGTTTTTTCACAAACTGGCCTGAACCTTTGTCACACGGTTTATGCCAATTAATTTATCAAAACTAATTGTTCGGAATAATATGTCAAAGAAAAGGTTACTCCCTCCACTAGTTATCGTCCACAGTCGTTGTCATATTAAGACAATGCAACTAGAATAAAAGCTAAGATAGAATATGGTGGGTCGAGAGTCACTACCAAAGTTGTTAAAAAGTTAAGAGGTAATACAGACATTGGTTCATACAGTGGGAATAAAGTTATTTGTCTGTCTTTAGTAAAAGAGATACTGACTAAAGGATCTTAAAGGATATAACTAAAAGAAGACTAGAGCAGTCAACCTTCAAGTTAAAATTTAACTGGTTAGCCGCGACTGG